AAGCCTGACAGTCTTTTGGGAGGGCGAACTCTTGCCCTATACGTTCCTGCAGGTAAGTCATTCATGCTGTAACTAATTATCTATGCATGTACTTAGACTTTAAAAAAAAAATGGGTACGGGCGGGCATCGTTCTTACGGTGTTGCATTACTCGGTTAAAAGCGTCATGCTTCCGGACTATACAAAGAGGATAATCTGCCGCTTTTAATCAATTTTGAGATATTTTTTTTTTTTTTTTTTGTTTATGTTGTTTTTAGGAGAATTTCCCGGTAAGGTAAATCGAAAGTGAGCTGATGTTGTTCTTAATGTAATTCAAGGCCTTTCAGCTAAAGAACATGTAGTGATACCGACGATATTCTAAAATAACCTTTAAAAATGTATATTTTTCCCGCTAAAGATGTAGGTAGGCAGTTTGGAGCTACACATGCTGAAGTGAGCTGCAATAAATTTACTAATGTAGCAGTTAAGGCAGGACGTACAAGATGTCTTCCTGGGAGAAAGCTTCCCATACCTGGCTCCTCACATTTTAAGATGATATTAAGAAAGAAGAAATCCCGATCTCGGGAGAGATCTTGATGCATATATAGTCGTAATTCTGCAGTGAAATATTACAAATGCTTTGAAGCAGTCTCCATTAGCATTATCTATATTGCTCGATCCCTTGAAACGGTRTATTTCCTATTAGGAAGTTAATTAGGCAGTCTAACTTCCCGATTCGAGCTATCGGTATCGGCCCTTGCCGCGGCAGCACCGCGCGCCTCTGCTCCTAAGAGCAGTAGGCAGGATGTGCAGCTTGGTCTGTATTATCTCTGCAGGTTTTGTAACCTTATAAAAAAGAAGCATGGAGGAAACTGTATGCAAAGACACATACACAACAGAATCTTGCCAAAAAGCAGAGGGGGGACCAGAAGGGAGGGATATATATAATATATATATATATATAAAATTCTTTTTTAAGAAAGGAAGGGGAGATAAAAGAAAAAGCAGTAGCCTGTAACTCTCAGTAAATTTAAAAAATGCAAATGTACCTTTACATATGCATCAGTATTAAAAATAATGCGCGTTGGAGCCAACGGGAGCAGGAGGAGCAGAGGAGAATGGCGCAGGGCCGAGCCGCGTTACGCGCGCAGAGCGCTCCGGAGCGGCCGCCCGCGCCGATTTGTCATTGCGGGGCTCTCCTGTTGTTGTTG